GTTTTTGACTGGGGTGAGGCGTTAAAGGAATCGGTCGTTAGCGTGATCTCGTGTTGGCAGTATCACGAAAACAGTCAACTGGGCCAGCCGACTCAGGAAACGATCCAGCCACTGGTTGTCCTGATGAAAAGGACTGTGGAGGGTAGAGAAATCAAAAAGCATATTGAGACATGTAAGTGCTCCTTTGATGCCTTTAGATTTATCATCTTCTCACTCTGTCACTTTTGATTCAGGTCCGCGATTAATCCAGATCGCAACAACCGACCCTTATCTCACTGAAGAGTCGATCGAGTGGCCTTTGATCCATCAATCAACTCGGTATCCCTGGAAGGAACGAAACCGTATTTTCCGAGCGTTTCACTCGATGGCTTGCCGCACTGGAAAGGATCTTGTTTGGACAAGTGAAAAAGATATTAAGAATAAAGTTAGAACTGCTCATAAAACACTACACAAGATCTTAGAAGAAAGTGTAGATATTATTTCTTATAATACTCAAGCTGACAAAATTAAAATTCAAACAGAGGGGGAACACAAGGTGTCTGCTAATCAGGTTCCCATGTCCCAAAGTATTGCTTGGGCATGGCAACAGTGTATGGTTAAAGCTCAGGAGGAAAAAGAAAATAAGTCAAATAAAGTACATCATCAGGGTATGAGCTGGCTTCAACAGCGGTTTTTATTGATTGTCTCAGGTGTAATGTTGGTTTATGAAAGGGATGTTTACAATAGAGCTCTGCAAAAGTATTGCAAAACTCCAAGAACACCTGAAGAGATCAATGCTAGAAAAAATGAATTAAAAGGTACAATTCTGAATCAGCTGTCTTTAGATTATGTTAGAAAAAATCCTAGCTACGGGACGCAGTCCCGTAGCCCTCTAGGAACGTACTACACGTACGCTTTTTGGCCTACGAGCGTACGTGCCGTCCCGGCGCCCTTTTTACACGTACGCTACGTGTTATATTTCTCGCGGACCGCGTGAAATTACACATATAACACGTGTCACTGTCCCACCCAACGTTACACGACGTTCTATTTCTCGCCGTCGGCGAGAAATAGAACACGCGCACACGCTCCTCCCGCCGATTTCAGAGTGTCACATCACGTGTGATTGTCACAGTTTGCGAACCATCAAATGCATCAATTGAGCCAAGCAGGCGTACGCGGCAGCGCACCCGCACGCCCTCATGACAGGTCTCAATTCAAGATCCCCACACCACTCCAGGAGGATACCCAGGTTGGTGCAAGACATATGTATCACGCTCCAGGGTAGTTGTTATGGCCTGGTGATAAACCAGTTGGCAAAGTGACAGGCTATCACTTGCCCCGCACGTGCGACAACACGAGTTCGAATCCTTGATGTGTCATTTTTGATGAACCTCTGTAGTAAATACAGGTTTACATGTCACAAATGAAGTGCGACTCCGCATGTTATCCGCAGCAATTAGGGCTCGATGTTAACCTAACATGATGACAGAAGGGACTATATAATCCACCACAAGTCACCAATTCCAAAAGTGAAAAGTTGAAATCGAATAATACATATCCGATCCGTATAGTCAAAAACACCCCATATTCAAGGTTTCCAACCCGACCCGACTACCCGACCCGATACCCGACCCGTTGACCAGTCCAATCCCAAATTAAACAGTCGCAACAATGAACAAAGTGAGTAATGAGACTTATTTGTACTTAACCAACCAATCTTGAGCGATTTAGCGATGTCCCATTTCTCGCGGTCGGCGAGAAATGGGACAGTCTCCCAGCAGACCAATAAAAGTGGGCGCAAGATGCGTGTGTGTATACACACGCGGCGATAGACGCGTTGTTCCATTTCTCGCCGACGGCGAGAAATCGAACGACGACTGAGCTACCTTCATATCTCACGCTCACAAAATAGTGAAGACCACATCAACACAGACAATAGCAGATATCAATCGCTGATAAGAAATGAAACGATTACCAACAATGCAGAGCAATCGAGCCGCCCACGTTAATCAACAACGCGCGCAACTACAGCAAGCGCGACGCCCAAGTCCTTACAACCGGGTCGGTACTACTTCCTTACCGTGTATCAGGCATTTTACTGATACGTTTGGGCATCCAAAGGCGACGCGCAGCAGTAGCACTGCTGACGGTGCGTCTCACGGCTATCCACGTCTTTCCGACGCCAATCGACATAAGTATCCAAATGCAGGAGCAATCCTCGCCGCAGTAAGTCGCCTTCAAATGCTATGACAGGTGCGAACCATTCGCCCATGAAGATGACCCACGTGTGTATGTGTAGCGCGCCCCACCAAAGGAACCTAACGCTGCGGAAGCGGAGGACACCCATGTGAGTAACACTCTCCTATTATAACAAGTGTAGTTAAATAATTAAAAATTTATGAGTACAACAACCACAGGAGGAGGAGGGTGAAGCGGATGTGCCTGAAACACCCACGCCGCTCACGAAATCCAAGACTGTGAGTGATGACGCTGAAACGCATGTCACTTTGTGCGAGCTAGAACACTGACACATTAACGCATTAAGCACACCTCACAGAAGCGCGATCCCAAAGATAATGTGCGATCAGAACCGAACGAGCCAGAGGTTAGATTGAATGATCACCTTTCACATGAGGACTTCAGCTAATGATGTTATCTCTGCAGGGCAATCAAGAAAGTCAAAATGAATATGTAAGCGCCGCCGAGAAAGATAGTGTGAAAAGCGACCAGGTGGGCGATAGCGCGGCAAACACCGCTGTGACCGAAGTAAGCACAGCATATGTGAATGATCCCGCTTGAGTGACCAACTTACAATTCCACATGCAGCTCATCACGGCTGAGCCAGCGGCCACGCAGGACGACCCGACGGATCTCGAGATAATCAAGAGTCTGTCATTCAAGAAGAAAGAGGCAGTGGAAAATGAACAGGTACGCAATTTGCATATCTGTTACAGCTTATCTAAGCTAACAAGGCCATCAATCCATGATCAGGCTCCGATGAGCGCGACCCAGGCCGTGCGACAGGTAGAACTCCGCCAGGCGAGAATGCAGTATGAAGAGGGTAAGCTCACTGTATGAGACCCAATACGACGTCTGAGATGCTGACACTTAAACGTGGTATTGACAGTCAAGGCGCTATATCAGGTCACCAAGGATGGAGTGGACGCCCTGGCCGCGAAAGCGGCCAGTGGAGCCATAGACAAGGCGCTGATGCTGTCTAAACAGTACTTGGCAGAGCTTGAGGAGACTATGAGAGAAGATGAGCAGAGGCTGCTCGAGTCCCTCAGCTCTGCTCATCCCGATGTGGTGTTTGTTCCCACTTCATTCGAGCCAACGGCGCTCAACCCCGCGGGCGCTCCTGCCAGAGAGCCCACTGAGCAAAGGCCAGGGCAGGCCAAACGCAAGGCGACCAACGCCGGTGTTCAAGGTTAGGATTCATTAGTATGACATCACTGGTCGCATGCGTTCAGTCTGACCGGCCCGTATTGCAGGCGCTACTAAGAGGCCGAAGGATGTAGATCCCTCGATATACCTCGACATTGAAGCTAAAGAGTCAAACAAAGCAGATAGGGACGACATCGCCGGGCCAAGGAGAGGCCACCGTAGACGTATCAAAAGTAGGGCATTTGTAACGCAATCTGACAATGAATGGCCCGCAGCAGCTGTTCAAATAAACATCGCAGATGTTGTGAAGAACAAAGCACCGGGACAACCTGATGACGTAGAGAAGGAGCCAGCCGAAGAAAAAATCCGGGACGGTGAAATACTACCCGTGGACGAAACCAGTATATTTCATGTAGAGAAGCCCGACATCAGCGGTAAGTGCTATTAGCTTCAGTTGTTTCTTTTGTTTCTCTCTCCATCATTTCCCCATTTTCAAACCACTCCGCGCTATCGATGCACGATAATATTACACGTCATCATTTCAAGATTCCATCTCCTCACACTTTATATCCTTACCGACATTCCCGTGTTCCAATTCTCGCCGACCGCGAGAATTGGAACACGCTGACGTATCCGCGTACTCTCCATCCGCGTTAGACCATTCGGCTGGTGTTCTGATTCTCGCTGACGGCGAGAATTTGGGTTAGGGGTTACAAGGTAGGCCTAGGGTTAGGGTTGAAAGTGCATGCACCTAGCTACCGCCCCCCCGGCGGGGGGGCTCAGGGCTAGGGCGCATAGGGCGCATTTTGGCGAGGTGCACCCTAGTCCAACTGCCCCGAGCCCCGAGCCCCTTTTCCTAGGGCGCACACCAGCGGAAAGACCGCTGAAAATTGAATTTCGGCGGTCATTCTTTCAAATTCAGGTAGGGATACCCCGTCATAGGTGACAAAGTCCGCCGAAACCCATTTTCCGGCGGACTTCCAATTCAATTGGCGGCTGAACTACAATACGTCATGATTAAACCTGTGTAAAAGGGGGTATATATGTTGACGTCAAGAGCCACGGAGGGCGCCCCAGGTCCACCTTTGCCCTGCATCCCTGCAGAGCCACCACCCATGTAAGCACAGCAAAGACAATGACACAGACAAACTCAAAATAACAATCCCATGCACAAGCACCGCAGTTTTGTCATCATATAAACTACTGATCATAAGTCACGAACAAGTCACAGACTACACATCCTGCATCAGAATGTAACCTTGAGAATCAAAAGACAAATGTGCACTTTCGGCATTGGAGGTTGGCCACGGTGCGTACCATAACTCATGTATGGTTATCCCGAACATCACAGCAGTTCAATGTGTGCCATGTGGGTCCCCGCCACAAAAATAGCCTCCACGGTGAAAGGGAACATTTGACATTACAGCTACTCACTGAAATCCATGTCACTGTTCCATATCCTTTCAGGCAATCCTAGTAGCGGCAAAGTCTCCCACAATAGTGGAACATCACCCCATATAACATCAAGGCCATCAGCAATACTTATCTTTCCGCTTTGCCATACATGCGCAAGAGTTACAATAACACATGCAAGGTGATATGTTGATAAACAAATGAGGTTCTTACTTACCACAGGAGCTGTGGCCTAATGGTAGAGGGCCTGGTTCGAAAAGCGCAACAGGCCTGCAACCTGGGTTCGAATCCCAGGTAAGCCATTTTTGGTCAGTGGTAGCTTCATCTGTGAAAGGTCGCACCTGTATCTGGACATGTGTCACCAGGTGACAGACTCTCTCAAACCTACCTTAACCTAACATGATGACAATCATATAGGTTTACCATCCTCATGAATCCGATCTTCCACTTCCACTTTCGATTCCGATTTCGATTTCCAGCTTAACCCTCAGATCAATTACACACTTCACATCATCATCAGAAAAACTCTCTCCCACATCACTTCCCATTATCTTAGTATACAAAACACCACAGTAGCACAGTTGAGTTATATCAGCAGCTGCTTATTAACCCAAGTCGATCTAACCCCACCTGCAGCCCAGTCAAATCTGACCAATCTCTCATTTCACTCATTCTTTCAGCTCAAACCAAAAATCGATTATCAGGTAATCAACCACCACAAGCTCTAATCCTAACCCTGAAGCACCCAAGATCGATCCACAAACTCACTGACCATATCCTCCCCACTTCATGATCGCATTTGTAGGTACCAGGTAAGTTTCTCCAACAAGTATACCCTGTGAATACCTCATTGGACTTACAATCAACTCGAAAACAGCACAAAATGTCTCAAGTAAGTGACCAGGCCACAAGCGATTTAATGGCTCAGACTCCGCCCAGTGTTGATCAGGTATGTTCATGATGAAAATGTCATGAGATCGAGCACAGTAACTGATAACAATCAATTTGTGTAGATACTAGCACCAGCAACACCCTCACCAGAGTCACCACCTCCCCATCAGGCTACAGAGTCAGATGTCGAAATGGAAGACCTAGTAAGTTATCCCCACCCCAAGTCTAACAGTAGACCAATCAGTCGAAGCTGACCGCTTGGACTCAACTGTAGCCAAACGACATAGACGCACCACGCGAAGCGGAGGAGGGAGATAGTGGAGATAAGCACGAAGGTGATGCTGATCGAAGCCCAGCTCAAGAAGTCCCCACTCAAATGGTAAGTAGCCAGAGGCACATACAGTCTTCTACCTCCTTCTGACCAGCCAAATTACCGATCTAGGACGTCGAACATCAAGATCGAGGTATAATACCTCAGTCGACTATTGATAGGATAATGACCGTGAAGATACCGAAATTGAAGCAAGACCCCGAAGTAAGTTCCGTCACCCTAACCCAACCCACCAATCTTCTTCCACCTTGCCTAAAAAAAAGGACCGCCGGCATTTGTCTTTCGGCGGACATTCATATTTGACCCTTAGGTCAAGTAACCCAGTTCTCATGCAAGAACCCCGCCGAAATTATGTTTTCGGCGGGCATTATCTCACTCATACGATACAGATGAATGACTCTGAACCCCGCCGAACTTATGTTTTCGGCGGGCATTATCTCACTCATACGATACTGATAAATTACTCTTGTGTAAACTTTACAGGAGGCTCTCTCACCATCACAGGCGATTCGCAAGATGAAGGTGACTAAAGCGTTCGAGCGTTACCAGAAATGTAAGTCAAAATATTTACGTTAGCTTGTGGGTGATTGACCAAACCATTCCGGGCATACTTGCAGTCAAAACCATTCACGAAAACAGCTTGAAAGCCTTCAAGGAGTTCCAAGAGGAGAGTAAGAAAGATGACGCCTCGGAGGACTTCGAGGGGGAATTGGAGTGGATGATTGACGCCCTGGCTGTATCTAATCAGGCGTTGAAGAAGCGTGAAAGTCAGCTAAACGCAGCTATCACAGGCGGGCATGACGAAATAGAAATTATCCCTTTCCGACGCCCCAATCCTGAGTTTACCCGACCACATGCTGCAGCCAAAGTTGCATCGACAACCAAAGCAGGTCTGCACTCTTTCTTTGTATCCTATCTAGCAAGGTGGTAATTAGCTGACTTTGACTGCTGTCATACGAAGGTCATATTCGAAATGTCAAACGATACTTGGACATTGAAGCGGGCGTTAGTGAAAAAGAAATTCAAGAAGAAGGATGTGGTGGCGGTCGGAAGAGGAGAAAGCGCGAGTACAAAAGTGACGAATTCGTCGTCGACGATGTTGACTTCGAGATACCATTAGGCGACAAAGATACGACGGACGATGGGGAAGACAGTAGTGACGAGGAAGAGATTCGAGGGCCGGACGCCTCTCAACAAGGTGCGGAGATTGTGACGGCGGAAGATCAGGCTAAAAAGGGTAAAGCGGCCCTGAAGAAGGAGAAGACCCCTGAGCCAGCGATCGAGCTTCTCCCGATTGACAAGTCGTCAATCTTTCATAATTCCGAGGTCATCCTGGATACGACCAGTAAGTACCTCCCTTCCCATCAACTTCTTGATTCGTCTCTTGATATAACTTGTATAGTCCGCCGAGATACGAAACTCGGCGGACATGTTGGGTGCTTTGTCATTCGCCTAATGTCCGGCGAGTTTCGTAACTCGGCGGACTATACAAGTAATATCAAGAGACAGGTTGTCCGCCGAATACTATATCTCGGCGGGCTTAAGTGATGCATCCAGAATAAAAGCTAACTTATCCTTTTGCCTCCCAATAGAACTCATCAACGATCCAACCGATGAAGAAACCTCCTTTTTGACGAAGTGCGCGAACGCGCTCACCAGCAATCAGTTCGATTGGGGTGAAGCTCTGAAGGACTCGGTTATAGGGGTGATTTCCGCTTGGGAATATCATGAGCACAGCCAGCTAGGACAGCCTACCCCCGAGTCCATCCAGCCCCTTGTAGTTTTGATGAAACGCACTGTAGAAGGAAGGGAAATCAAGAAACATATCGTCACTTGTAAGTGTAAAGCTCACTTTCTAATATATGCATTTAACTGACAAGAACCATGTGGCTTGCAGGTCCTAGGTTGATTCAAATAGCTACCACCGATCCCTATCTCACTCAAGATTCCATCAACTGGCCTTTAATCAACGAATCTACCCGATATCCGTGGAAGGACAGAAACCGTGTATTCCGCGCTTTCCACTCGATGGCATGTCGAACGAGCAAAGATCTTCTATGGACCGAAGAGAAGGACATAAAAAATAAAATTAAAACGGCCCACAAGACTTTACATCGAATTTTAGAAGAGAGTGTTGAGATTATATCATACAATACCAAGTCTGATCAAATTGAGATTCAAACTGAAGGCCAGCATAAAGTTCATTCTAGTGTAGTACCTATGTCCCAGAGCATAGCATGGGCTTGGCAGCAGTGCATGGTTAAGGCACAAGAAGAGAAAGAGAATAAGTCGAGCAAAGTACATCACCAAGGAATGAGCTGGCTACAACAGCGCTTCTTACTAATAGTCTCAGGGGTTATGCTGGTGTATGAGCGAGATGTGTATAATCGAGCACTTGCGAAATTCTTGAAGACTCCACGGACTTCGGATGAAATTGCAAATCGCCGGAACGAACTCAAGGGGACAGTACTTAATCAACTTTCATTAGATTTTGTAAAGAAGAACCCGCAAAAGGCCTTACCGCCGTCAAGAAAAAGCGAGCAACGCTCTCATGCGATGATCAAAGTCAGCGATCAAGAAATTCAAGCGGCTGCGAATGAAGAGACCTACGAATTCCGCCGACTCGCCCTTCAAACCTTAGCCTTATTCATGATGTTCGGTACATCCGGATTATTTCATGTCTGGGTATGGAAGAAAGAACAAAAAATGACCGACGCCGCTTCGCTCATTCATCTCTCTAGTGTGTTAGCTAATCGTCGGAAGAAAAATTCGCAATCTGAGCCGCATGTATTCTATCAACGATCCTGGAGTCGTTTAGATCATCATGTTTTCACCATACTCAGAGAGTTTATAGATGACGACGGCGGTTTCAAGCGAAAAGTCAATTGGCCCACCTTGACTCAGATGTTTCACGATCGGTTTTCACCCAACACTCTCTCTTATCTATACAGTTTGGATTTATGTCTTGAGATACATTCACCTTTATCCACCAGATCCCCAGATGGAAGCTCAGCTCCAGATTTCGACTTCAATCAGCGAAAGAAGGGGCCAACACTTATACCCATCACTGAAACGTTCAAATCTGTTTGGCCAAGCACAGCAGGTCAGCCTGTGCCTGTAACCAACCCAAAGGAGATGTACCTAGAGGCTGATGGCTCTAAGGTAACTAAAAATCATCCTCTCAAGGCGATTAGTCAAGCTAAGGCTCAAGTACGTGATAGAGCTGCAAACGAAGCTGAGGTCGAAATAGCTGCTGCCAGTGGTAGTTGATTGAGGAAAGTATTATTTTTGTTTGTAACGTCCTTCTCATGTGTTTGTTTGTTCATGTGCGCTCCGAGTTCTTGTGCGTGAAATAAAATGTTGGTTACTACAATTGTTTATCACGTTTTCGATGCTCAATGATCAAGTGCATTGGCGAACACAACTGCCGCCTAAGTCCGCCGAGGATTGCTTTTCGGCGGACTGTGAATTGAATGAATCCAAGTCCTGATTCCGCCGAAAACCTTAGTTCGGCGGACATCATAAACAAATTTTAAGTCTCAATCCTCAAGTCGAATGAGTCCGCCGAGATTACTATCTCGGCGGGCTTCTTAGGCGTGTGCCCTCCTGAACTGAGACCTTGTACCTTGTTCGGTCTCAGGATGTTCCCTATAGGGACTGCCACTGGTATTATTCCGCCGAACAATGATTTCGGCGGACTTTGTTATTGTAAATCCGCAGCCGCAGCCGCAGCCGCAGCTGCTGTGCGCAGCAGTTAGGTCTGGAAAGGTGATAGTGGGCCTTTTTGGTCTGGGGTTCCCTGCTGAGTCAGCTCTTATCAGTCCTGGATCTGACCACCTTCTTCCACAATTCCTAAACTCGATTTTTTCCTCACATACTGCCTGTGACATTCCTTCAACATCCTTGTGATATCCTTGTGACATCTTCGTGATATCCCTGTGAAAGGTCAGCATTCTTCTACCTCCTATGACATTCTATCACCTGTGAATAGCGAAGTCCGCCGAAAGGTGCATCTCGGCGGACATCGTATGTGATCTGCGCCGATAAATTCTCCGCCGGAAACGTCATTTCGGCGGAGAT